TTTTAGCGATAACTATCTAAATTAATAGGACAATAACATCTCTTCAAGTTGTGGCAATGGTCGTGACTGTCGTACGTATTCGGGATGAATTTTCAACAAGATAATGTTATGCTCAAATTTTTAAAACTGTTCTGAAAAACTATCTTTGAGCAACACAGTTTTTTTAGTTGAGAGCAAGACCTTTGACTTCTTCGAACCTGCCTGTTTGCCAGAACTTCATGATGTCAAGGGCTCCACCAGTTCACCTCCTTACGAGATATTCCAGCTACTCGAAGCAAATAGAACACTACGACAGGAATTTCGCAGTATTCAGCATCTACGGACAAGCAGTTTGGAAAAATGCTGGCTAGTTTATTTTTTAAAGGGCCATATATTGCTACTTCATAAATTAATAATGTTTACTTTGTGGCGACAAATGTAGGATTATATATATATATATATATATATATACATATATATGTACATAGATATATACATATATACATATATATGTATATACATATATGTGAAAGGAAAATGTTCGCCAAATTCACTTAGGGTGGAGAAATGTTCCACCGCAGTTAAACGAAGGGTTATGTCCCGTTGAAATTTTCTTCAAATAAATTTATACAGGTTATTGTGCCGAAATGCGACATCGTTCCTGTGTCACACCTTTTCGTACTCGAAGGAGAAACACGAATGCATCGTGTCTTCCTCTATTGTGAACAACAGGGAAAACTACGAAAAAATTACCCAGAGAAGCCACCTATTCGATCTTTATGTTTGCTGTCGCTCTGAAAGAACGAGTACGTTGATTTCTGACTCATAACGTAATTGTGATGCAGATTCTTATTAAAATTTCATTTGAATGTTCTACCTACTGTTTTACCTTTACGTCAAAGGCCCGTCTTCATAGGGAGTGCGGTTCTTCGAACACGGTGACGTTCAGGAGGCCCATTCCGCAGTCTTGAATTCGTTCCCGTGTTCGAATTCAGATGGTTTTTAGCCCGTTAGCCAAGAAGCTAAGAATGAGTTCGTTTAGCGTTTAGAGGGTCTTCTAAGAGAATGTCTGCATTCTCTAGGAGCCAACCAACTCCACTGTTCGTTTCTACCATCTATCATCTATTTTTCTTATTATATGACCGTTCCACCTGTGGTTTGCGATTGATGTGTCTTCTCCTGGATCCCAAAAATGGGATTGGTTTTGAAGATCTGAGCTGCTCATTCGGGCTGGACGGTGTGAGTGCTCCTTATACTTCAGGAAACATGGGTTCAGGCTCTCTTTCAGTGGTGTCCAATATTCTTACCTTGGTTGAGGTATCAGCCCCGTGCCTGCTGCATAACAGAATGCTGGAAGTCTGTTTAATCGACAAGATGCTCGCGGAATTTTCGATCCGTTGGTTGGTCATCGGCGCTTCTTTGAGAGCTCGAATGCGGCCTATGCTGCTCTCCTTCGTCTATCTAATTTCTCATTCTTGTTCCTCTTTTCCAATGAACTCGCAAGTGAATTTGACTTTGTTAGGAATCGTTATATTAGAAGTGATAGGTTGCATATCTGACTTTCACAATGGCTTGCGATAGCCTACCGATGTATCGAGCCAGTGCTGCTGCTATCCACCCACAAGTCTGGTGCCAATTTGCTGGCTTCGGAGGGGTTGAAGGCTTGGTGAGCCTGGGGCGCCTCAAGCACTGGGCTACATGCGCTCCACACGTATGAGGTGGTTTCTGTGATTGGAGAACCACACAGTGCACAACTTTTTCATAAACTGGATTTTCATTTGATTTGCGTGCAGTCTAATCTTTTTTCCCTCTTTGTTGAGTTGAGTATCGTCTTTGCTTCAGTGATGTTCCCAGAAAAAAAATGACGATACGATATCAGCCTTAAAACATAGATTTGCTGGGAATTTTCCATTAATGCATAAACCCTTCTCTTTCTAATCGAGTGACCTCACTATCCACTGCAGTGCGGCAGCAAACAGCTATTGTGCTGCTTCTGTTAAACCCTTCGTCCCAAGGGTATAGAGAGCGGTCAATGCAAAAAGCTTTATATTTGAGTTACTGTTCCAATAACAGTCTGCCAGTGTGCGTATATAGGACGGGTTCACCTCTTGATCGACGAACGCTGTTAGGATAGCATTCGTTTCGACGCTGTCTAACGCTTTTTCTTAGTCGAAGAAGGTTTTACCTTTCGCTGTTCTCGAAAAATGAAAATATGGAAAACGCGTACTTCGGACAGGAGTCCTACAACAAAGTTTCCATTCTCATTTTATTTCCCCATTCCGAACTTCCCTATCCTGTATTCATTTTCCTTGGCCGTTTCTAATCTGGCATTGAAGTCTTCCGCCAGAAATCTTTAGAATGACCTCTCGTTGCTGAATACTTCTTTCAATTCGTTGTAGAACGCGTATAGTTCGCTCTCATCAGCTGTGTAAGTTGGTGATTGACAGTTGATGATACGGGTTTCCACTGATTTTCCTAATGAGCTCACACGGGGTTGCTATTACAGCATTTTTAATCCACAGTAACTAACATTTCGGCGACTTCAACTTTTTCAGAGCCTGGAAAGGTCAAATTGACATGCAATCTACTCACCCAAAGACTTTCATAGCCTCAGCAGACAAAACGTAGTTCGCAGATTTTAACTAGAATAGTAAACAGCTTCTTTTAAACACTTATTGTTTTGCTCTTCGTAAGTCTTCAATTTATTTGGTGGTGACCAGCCGCTACTTGGTTCAGATGGAAAAATAGCCTATGATATGGCGCTAGGTCACGCGTCATCAAAAACAGTCCTTGCGGTTCATTTCTGGGCTTTTGGAGTTAATCGAAAACGCTTCAAGTGTCTTGCTCGCTGATATGTTAGATTTTTTGTGAGAACAGAGACTTTCATTACTTCAAAATCTTCTCCTTTGTGTCTTTATTTCCTTCGCCCGTTCAATGGAGCATTTGGTTTCACTTCAAGTTTACCGACTAGGAGTTCTTTTACACACAAGCAGAGTATACCCCTTACGCCAACGTATTCACCCCCGCACGCTTTGCAAGAGATCAGATAAACCATACCCGAATTTACAATCATCGTCTCTACCATTAAGCCATATTATGCAGTTTTGCGCCATGCATAGACTGGCATGAAGGTGGTTGGGAACCAGCCAGCATATTTGAGTGTTTGATGGTATTTCGATCATTGTTACCAAATTCTCTAGACCAACGCTTTTTAAGCGACTTTTACAGCAGCACTTATTTCGTTGGATATAAAGGGCAGGATAAACGAGACCTTATTCTCGCTAGAATTATCGTTTAGGGGGCGCGGCTTCTCTTCTCCACCCATCCTGAAGAGCTACAGCTTCATAGCCATTGGAAATGGCTGCTTACGGCGTCAATTTCAGGGATTCTTTCTTCTGCTCTCTTCCTATGCTGCGCACAATGGCGGCTGTTCGAAATATATTTCTTATAAATGCCATTTTTTGTGTGAGGGATGAGAGGAGGGGTAGCGAACCAATATATTTTACATACTTGGCTTTCGTCACCACTTGGTGATTTAGGCATTTGCGGAGAGCTTAATTTGAACGTTTAGAAGGGAAAGCCAGTTTCCCTTCTGTTTCTCTCGGGTGAATGATGTGTGCTCTGACTGTTCGTTCACAGTGTAACTCCAAAAGGAGGACCGTCTGCTAGGATCATAGACTCTGATAAAGACGAAGACAACGGAACACTACCGAATAAATGCTTAGCAACAACTTAGCTTTAGCTTAACAATGAAATAACGTACATTGACCATTTTTACCAAAGCTAAATGAAAGTCGGTTTACGACAGTAGAAGGTGAATGTTTAAAAGGAGATGCTTATTATGATGATGAAGAATTATGTAATATATCTCATCTGCTGAGGTTATTCTTTTATTAAGGGTTATGAAAATGTTTGGTTTATATGACCTTTCCAGGTTTTGAAGTGGCAACAATAACAACAGCAACAACAACATCTGACACTAACCTCGTATCAGCTCAACAACGGCAGTTCGTAAAAATAGATATTGGTAGTAAGATTCACAGGGTGATTGCTGATGGCAAAAGTTCAATAGAACTAGCTGAGAGACAGGCGAAACGAAGGCCCCGCGTGGTGTGGTGGTGAACGCGCTACACCCCGGAAAGGACAATAGCGCGTTCGTTCCCCACAGCAGACACCTGCGGTCCGGAGTTTTGCAAATATCTCAGCATCATTGAAGTTATATTTCACAATTTATACCCTGCCGTTAAAAAGAGTAAGCAGTAAATAATACGTTAAATTTGGTAGTAAGATTGTCAGGGCCGGATGACCCAGTGGTCGAAAGTAGAAGACTATTATGAAAGCCACTAAAAATAGTTATTTGACCTAAGATTTATGGTCTTCATTGCTTTCTCGCCAAGATAGAATATCTAAAACCACTGGCGATTTGAGGCATATGAATAGTAAGGTGTTAAAAATTGCAAACTTGAATTCACTTAGCTTACAATACTTCGAAGCAGAAGTAGGATTTATTTTCCACACTAGGCTGCCACTTTGTGGGACAACAAACGAATCTGGACTCTAAAAATGGTGCAGTTGCCGACATTAGCACCTCACCTCCGACTAATGATGCACGCGATAACCATTTACATACATTTGCAACCATTCCACTGGTCCTGACGATGGAGGCAGATGGATCAAAACGGGGTATGTACTAATAATTATGCGTCTGCTTGGTTTTTCCATGATAGGCAGAAAATGTGTAGCTGTTCGAAATAATAGCTTAGCCACATATCCAAATACACTTAGTTCTGTAGTATTGATAGCACAATTCTCCGTTTAATATGAGTGAATTGTACCCAGAACAGGTAATTGGCCGCGTGTAATTTTATCATTGTTTAGCCGATATTCCCTACCAGAATAGACTCCGAGAATCGTCTTTAACCCTAGCAGTAATTGAAGAGCTGAACGGAGCCAATAAGCTGAATGTTTTGTGAGAACTTTGAAAATACCTTTCTAAACGTGTCTGTCTTCACTTTTATGGAATCGTGTTTTCTAGGAATAATATTTCTGGATTTGGTCCAGAATTACATCAACTTGACCTTGAAACCACTCCACGTCTCGCATCTACGTCCAAACAGCTCGGCTTTGTTCCTTCTGAAGCAATTAATGTACAGGCTGAGTGTCACGCCACTGGAATAAACGTCTCATTTCTCCTCAATCCCAAACACGAGGTATTATGAACTTGTTTCCTGACTTTCCTCTATTTTTAAATTTACTTCAGATAGGTATGTCATTTACACTTTTAGTTTCTTGGTTCTTATTCAAAATGTATAAGCTTCATCTTATGTTTTTTTTCTACTCATACATCTCACCTTGAATTTCCAAGTTAACGTGCTTTTGAACTACAAATTTTTCCCGTCACACATTGTTCAGATCCCATCACTTCTTCTCATTTGATTCCTTTTTTCACTTCTATGTTTTTCGAAACTCCCAAACGTTTACCACCTCATCTTGGCTGGAAGGTGTTCCTGGATGTCGTGCTGCGATGTAAGGCGGGGTGATTCATCCCCCCAGCAGGGCTTCTCAAGCAGAAAAGGAGTCCGGTGTTTCTATCAGAAAGCTTAGCTACGAGCAAGCTAACCAAAATCTACCACCGTCCTGGTATCAAACTAGTCGAATGGTGGCAAATCTTTCTCTGATCCATGAGAGCTGACTTGTGGTGGGGTGGTGACAACTTGGAGCAGACTGTGACCAAGCTGACCTCGGCATTCCAGAGAACCATAATGGCTAAACCAGCAAATCTCCGGAAAATGGAACTTTTCAAAAGTCATATTTTGCGAATGGATTCTGCTTATTCTGGCTCCATACGCCAAGTATGTTGAATCGACCATTGTTCTGACTCGACGATGAGTTGAAAAAGTACAGAATTGGCTGTTGTTTGCTTAGTGAAATGTGCGACGCCATTTTTTCCTTGTGCCCATAACTTGACTATTTTCAGAAATATACGGGTGTGATTTACGCTGCTGAGCGGTTTGAACAGTGCCGCTTATTTGTCCGGTCTTCGAGTGAATTCTCGATTTTTATTCCACGACCGCGATATAACACATGGTGCAACGCGGTAGAGATAGTACGTTCGGGTATTCCTTTCTACTTCGAATTGTTACTTCCACTTGATGACTCGTTCCTGGAATATAAACGAATTTTAAGGCCGTTTTATTTAACCAAAAGCATTTACACATTCTTTGAATTTCTTTCACTTTAAGGATAAAATTGCCTCAGTCGTCATAGTGATGTCGAATGACCGAATACTTCCTTATGACGTTACCACTAAAGATGATCTATTCTTCCATGTTACTTGCAATTATACCGTACCTTCAATCAGTGAAACTTGGCAAGGAAACGTGGTTGGGTGAGTTAAATTTTGCCTTTACGTATTTTGTCTTTCATATAAAAAAGGATAATGCCCTTGGCGTTGATCAATCCCTAAGGGATGCGCCACGCATTCAACTTTATTAAGCATCCTTAGAAGTGATTGAATGCATATCTGACCTTTACAATTAGTCTTAGTCTCAGGGACCTATCAACGTATCGAGCCAGTGCTGCTATCCTCCCAGGCAAGTCTGGTCTCAATTTCCGAATCCGGAGGGATGGGAGGTTTGATGGGCCAGGGGGGCTAGAATCGACCCCATGTGTATGGCAGTGAGCTTCCGGCCATTGCACCACACGGGCTCTTCAGGCCTTTCATATACAGGCAACTAACAAAATAGTAGATATGAATAATTCTACACGAAGAAGTTGTATGGAGTGACAGAGGAGGCGTGAAAGAGTGAATTATCATGTAGTTACGTTATATTCAAAACTACTGGAGTTACAATATAGTAAATTACAAATTTCTTTTAGATTCAAGGAAGCCTCAGCAATGAAAATCTCTCTGCACGACCCTCGTGATCGTATCTCTTTGCAAATCCTGAAAAAAGGGATTCCTGTCAATAGTGTTTTCATCGGAGAAATCCTTGTTGTTCGTGTCGAAAGTGATATCTCGCGTGAGTACACTTGTACACTTAGCTACATAAAGATAAGCTGTTTTCAAGAATTTGTCCTTGAACTTTTAAAACTCAGAGACTCTTTTTTTTATATTTTTCATTGACATTATTTTGAGTTTTCTATGGCGTTTTTTCAGCTATGATAAAAAAAATAAAAGGGTAAAGCTCTCGGCGTTGATCAATCCCTGAGTGATGCGCCATGAATTCGACTTCATTAAGTATCGTTGAAGGTGAATGAATGCATATATGACCTATACAATGACTGGCGGTGCCTTAACAATGTCTCGATTCGGTGTAGATATCCTTTCAGACAAGTCTGGTACCGATTCCAGATCTAGAGAGGATTCAAGGCTTTGTGAACCAGGAGTACGAGATCGATCCCATGTGTTTTCCAGGCCGTTTTTAATCACTACGCCACACGAGCTCTTGTCAACTATGATCCTAAAAAGTAAAATACTAGCTGAAAAACACCTAAAACAAAGGGTCCACATGGTGTGTTGGTGAGCGCATTAGTCCTCGGAAGGGGACGTTCGTTCTCCACCGCAGACATCTTCGGTCTGGAGTTTTGCGAATACATCAGCATCATTGTGGTTGTATCATACATAATACCTTGCCGTAAAAAATTGTATTAGGCGGTAAACAATTGTTAGTAACTATGATCTTAATTTTACACTTTGCTTATTATGGATCTTCAGTGACGCAGTGCTCACATCCACCTCTCATACTGTCTTCTTCAATATTTTAGACCTTCCTTCGTTTTCCACTCAAATCTAATTATTGTTAGTGATCGTTAGGTGCAATGTTTGAATATGAATACTTTAAAGGAACATCTTTACAATGAATCAATCGTGCAAGTGTCAAAGAATTCTTCATTTACCTTGCATATCTGGATGATACCTTACTTTACCTTAGTTTTTTACCTTAGTTTGCCAAAAAACTTGTGAAGCTGTCAATGAAATGAGGAAAGGAAACGGTAGAAAAAGAGACCACTGCAGAAATTGTTACTCTTAATAGTGATTCAGTAAGGACAACCCGTTCTTCGGCTTTGAATACATGTATTTTAGCTGATCGACTTCATATAACGGCGTGTACTGCACATCGAGTAGGTGGCACAGGACCACCAACCTTCGTCACGCTAATAGCTGATGGGTTCGTACGACTTTTTTTGTTTAATTTAAGTTTTCCATTAATTTATGTTTGATACAAACTTGATGGGCGCGTGTGGCGCAGTAGTCGGAGGCGCCCTGCAACACACATGTGGAAACGATACGCGCGTCCATAGCCCACCAAGTTTTCCATCCCTCCCCCTCCTGGGTTGGCAAATTGGTACCAGACTTGTCTGGGAGATTAGCAGCACTGGCTCCATACATCGGTAGGCCACCGCGATCATTGTAAAAGCCAGATATGCATTCAACCATCTCCAAACGATGCTTAATGAAGCCGAATGCATAGCGCATCCCATTTTAGCCTCACAAACTTGATTGAGGCATCATAATGTCGTCACAAAATTTAAAAAGTGTGCAAACTATTAATCGAATGTGAACCAAGTAATTATAATAAGAAGATCATGAGCCCAAACAATGCTAGAAATTTGTTACCTATTTCTCTAAGGTGTTATTTTTTAGGCTTCTAAGCTGTTTATTAAGTTGAGTTTCATTTCCTGCTTATCACATTACAGGTGTGCACTATTGCCTTCTCTGATGACACCGATGAAATTGGGTACGAGAGGTTGGGAGTCATCGCTTTCTGCTTTTCGTATCGATGGAAGCGAACAAATCGACGTCGCCTGTATGCTGGACGTTTGTCCAGGCAAAAATTGTCCTGAAGTTAACGTTGGTTATCATGTTCCATATGTTTTCTCGTTCCATCGATCGTCACTGTATTTATCCGTGTGTGATTTGCATTTTCTATCAACTGCAGTGTCATGTGATCATTGCTACTATTTAGCTGTCCTGCCCACCAAGCAAAGAAAGGCCAATCCGTTCGTTGATCGAAAGACCTGCTGTTCGAGTTTACCATCGCCTAATTGTAAGAACAGGACATTCCGACAGTTTCCAAGACGACAGGACGTTCCCAGGTCGGTTGGCTCTTCAGCACTGATAAAAAGGAGCAAAGAATAGCAGAATCCATAGGAAGCGCTTCCCGTGAGCTGTTACCGTTTTGCTGGATAGTAGGAGTTAAAGGTAAGGAAAGGACTCCACACTGTTGTTCAAGCCTACTAGGCAACATCAACTTATCTGCATACTGCTTTACCTTAACTGGGTTCATTGCCAATTTGGGCTTCTGAAATCAATCTCGAAGACGGGTGATTGCTGATGGCACTGGTCAATAGAAAAATAGCTTAAAGATAGCCGAAACGAAGGACCCTCATGGTGTGGTGGTGAACGTCCTAGTCCATGGAGAAAGTAATAGCGCGTTCCACCGCAGTCACCTACGGTCCAGTGTTTTGGAAATATCTCAGCATAATTCTACCGTCAAGAAGCCATCAGGTATTTTACCAAAACGGATTTTTGTTTTCGATGTTGAAGTTGGTCATAAACTTCTTCCATTCCGCATGACAATAAGCGTAAGAATCCCGGAGTAGTGAAGTACCCACCTCTGCCTCATTATTTCAAATTGGAATTATAGCCAGCTTCTGTTGAAAGCGCACAGTGATGACATCTACCACTACTTTACCATCTCTGGCAAAGGGAGTTCTACATCGCAACCGCACCAAACTGTTCACAGGCACAGTAGATTGAGTAGTAAGTGTGAGATACATATGTACGCGTTAATAGAAGATTCAAACCATCGTTTTTTCTTGAGAAGCACTATGTAAACAAAGATTATGCTCGAAAGTTCCACAAAATAGGAAAAGGATAAACATGTGAGCAGATCTAGGAGAGCAACGTTCATGAAATGCCCTAGTGTGACTCTCAACGAATCGAGGTGGATAAATAATGGGTTGTGGAAAAAGATTTTTGCGCGTGTTTAGGGTATTCATTGGCCACAGCTAACCCCTTTTAGGAGTAACTGAACGAGAAGCGAAAAGTAGCGAAACGGGTCGGGGCGTTTTAAGGCCTCGAAAAAGTCACCAACCATTGGTTGGACGCAAGTCTCCCATTCTCGTGATCGCTTCGTTACTTAGTTGAGCATTTGGTGAATTACCCAACCGATAATTTCGCGCATTATTCAAAATCCTGGAGATGTGCGTAGCGCAGTGGTTATGGATGCGCTGTAATACACACATGCTTCTCGCTCCGGACAAATCATACAGCACGTGTTAACGTAGACGGGATAGGTCACATACAGTCTGCGGTAGCGTTGAAGTAGAAAAAAACTAGTGTCTTAGATACTGATGAAGTGGAGCTATCAGATTATCAAAGCACCTTTTGTTCTTTATATCTTCGAATCTGCAGTCATCACTATACTTCTTTTCGTTTAATAGTCTATTACGTCACACTATAAAGGTGGTTCTTCAGCTTGGAATTTCAGGTTGGCCTCTGTGTTTTTAGTGTAGCTTCAGGTTTTTAGAACTTTGTCTTCAACCGACGGTGTACCTTTCCGGGTTATTCACAGTGATGTTGTCTTTGACTGTTCTTACCATTTCGGCCTGCGCTGGAGCAAGAAGACGTCGTGACTCCGCGGAAGATCTCTCTGTTTCACGGTGATTTGTTTGAAAAAGCCAAATGATGTCCTTCCAACTAAACATAAATTATTTCGTCTGGTTTTTCAGATTCCCTGTTCTCAAAACAGACATGGGAGCGAAATACATCAAAACCTTATCGTTGTGATCGCTGAAGTCCGTGTACTTGATTCATGTTCTTGTCCGGACAAACACACAATAAAGGATGATATACGATATTTCCTAGCCATTCTATGGTTTTGTTTCCCATTCATTATCCACTTGGCCCATGATGATTGTTCTCTTCCATTCACTAGTATATTCAACGTCTTTTTTGTGTTAACTATTAGAGAATATTATTAATCTCTAAACACTATGAAGTTTTTGTAGTGACTAGTGTTTAGAGTACTTATTTAATTATTTGAATAAACGTTTCCAAAGGTATAATAGAGTTTTTGCTGTTACCTGCAATTACTGTATTATTTCACCGACTCGGGTCATCGGCTCTGAGGAAGACGACGTCGAAACGTTAGCCGAAAATAAATATCATTGTCAACCTCGTGTAAGCTCATCAAAGAAAGAATACACATGTATTATTTCAATTTTAGATTTTTATTCGCTGCCTACAACAATTTTTCACCGCAGAGTATCATGTGAAATACAACCACAAAGGTGCTGAGACATTTGCAAAACTCCGGACCGCTGGTGTCTGCGATGGGGACTGAACACGCTACTGCCTTTCCGGGGGCTAGCACCTTTACCATCATACCATGTGGGTCCTTCGTTTTGCTTGTCTCTCAGCTAGTTCTATCGATTAGTGCCATCAGCAATCACTCTTTAACGGGATTAATCTAGGGAGCACAAATCACCAATGAAGCCTGTTAAGCTGAAGCTGTACTTGAAATCACAATGCTAACATTTTATTTGCTGCCTACTATAATTTTTTACGGCAGGGCTGAACGCCCACAGCAGACATCTTCCGTCCGGAGTTTTGCAAATATCTCAACACAATTGTGGTTGTACTTCTTCATTTTGGTGCCGATTTTATCTTTACTTTTATTATAACATGACGCGACACCACGTGGATTACATTGCACGGTTTTCAGCACTTCTCGCCTTCGATTCGTTTTTTCGCACTCAGCACTCACAATAGTCTCGGAATATTTTTTGTGTGTCAGCCCGGCTGCCACCTTGGAATTTTTCTTCGTCGTCACGAATGCCATTAAATAGTCGTGGTCAAGCACATTCTTTCTGGAATCTTGAGATAGCTGTGCTAGATCGTTCTCACAGGTGGATCAGAGAGAGCGAGGTTGTCGCAGATAAATGGTGTACTAAATTACCGACCATGGAAGGGTGGAAAGTTTGGTGGGTTCAGGAAGTCAATCCAATACGTGGATGGTGGGCCATCTGCGTAGTGAATAGGATCACTACCACTGCTATACCCACTTTTTATAGTGTTTATAGTGCTATTTGTTGGACTTAAGAATTGTTGAACTTCTGTGTGAGTGACACAACGGATGCAACACAATGAGTTTAACAACTGTGCAGTGGTTACATGAAGAGAGAATGGTTTCAACAAATCAAGGTTGTAGAACGGTGAGTACTTGCCGTTAATATTAACAGAGTTCATGAGAAGCGCGAGAGTACGAATGGTTTCACAAACAGGTGACGATTCCAAGGTACCGTTTGAAGTGACTAGATGTTATTGCAAAGACCTCAACTGTTTTCGAGGCACTGTTTTCACAAAGTTGCTATGAAATACACACTTCTGGATCGGCCCTATGTCCCGCACAAATCTAGTCTTTTATCCCATCCAAATCTGAAACTTGTCAGATTTATCTGCCTGGAAAAACACTGAGTTCATGTCATCAGCTCATCTCCACGATGCAAAGTTGAATCGGATGTATGACGAGAGATCGATCAACACCGAACGCTTTATGCATTTTAGGCGGAGTTAAAACTTGCCTCATTAATATGCCACTTTTTGATTGGTTAAGAAATTGCCTTTACTCTATGTTATAGTTAAATAGATGTGATATTTCCAAGTTGTGGCTGCTAACAATCTGCAGACTGCCCATATTTTCGTTCAGACTTTGTCGAGGAGATACTACATGAATAAATCCGTGTTTACCTACGATTCTCGTTTTTCGCCTCTGCGAGCACATTCCGTCCAAGACGACTCTATGTCGTTCATGCACTCTTGAATCATCTTTTCTCCATTTCATCCTTATTATTGAAACCTTCATTACTCGTTTATAAATTTTTAAGGCGTCATTTACATCATAGTTGTATTACTCACACTATGATAAAGCATGCAATTGTCACAGTAATAAGAGGTCACATTGCAGCAACTCTCTCTCCAATCTATCTGGGTTGTTGACTGACTTTGGTGACGCCCTAAAGCACGATGAAGTTGCTATCTCTACATTTAGAGGATAAATTTCCTTTTAACATCACGATATCGGCCAGATAAAATTTACATTGTGCAGGAACGATCTGCAAAAATTAAATGTATAATAATTAAGGTTGTTTGGTTATTTGACGCTCGACCCAATCAAACCTTTATCCGGTGTCAAGAAAATGCTACCGAACTCTTCTGTGAAGCTATTATATCCCTCTCCGATCTAAAAGGGCTGAGTACCTATGAAGAGGACCTGGAAATGCCTTAGCACGGTACCTGGCAGAGAACCTACTGGACTGAAATTCAACGTCGTTTTTGAGAAAGATCAAAATTCTCAAAAAGCAGCAAAACATGCAAATTCGAAGATGTTCGTGAATGATGTATGCAAGGATAAAAATGGAATGAAAGAAGTGCTGGGATTCACACAGTATATGAGGCCGGGTTATGTCAAAAAATATTTTACAAAGTGGTTAAATTACAACTTTTAGTTAGATCAGTAGAACTAGCTGAGAGACAGGCAAAACGAAGGCCCGGGTGGTGTGGTGGTGAACTGCGCTACTCGCCGGAAAGAACAACAGCGCGCGTTCGTTTTCGCCACTGCATGCACCTGCGGCCCGGAGTTTTGCAAATATCTCAGTATTACATAGGAGTTTCAGTTAGGTTATTCATCCTTAAGACTTAATTGTATAATCCTTGAAAGTCTATTTTGCCTACGTTTTAGCAGTTCAGTTAAATTCCAACGCTTAATGACATCTTGTGAAAAATTTACTGCGAATAGGAGATACGTAGCATAGGAGAAAGAGGGAGTTCCACTGCAATAAATCTTTTCGTAAGATCTCCTCTACTCAGGCGGATTTGTTCTTAAGAGGTTTCTCGCCGTGATGGAATACTGTTATTATTGCTTATTTGCTATTGCTATTATTGCTTTTCAGGGCGCGTGTGGCGCAGGGGTCGGAGGCGCCCTGCAACACACATTTGGAATCGATCCTAGCGCCCATAGCTCACCAAGCCTTCCATCCCTCCAAGGTCAGCAAATTGATACCAGATTTGTCTAGTAGGATGGCAGCACTGACTCCATACATCGATAGGCCACTGCGAGTTATGCTAAAGGCCAG